ACGAAGATCGTGCTGTCTAGTCACGATCGCCACGATCCAATGTCTTAGCTGGGAAGCACGAGGCTCTATCAGCAGACGCGTGGCTCATCTCTCGTCAGATCCGGTTCCGCCTACAAAAGGAAGGGTTTCGCCTGCAAATACTGGGCATAACCCCACGAGTCGCGCGAAAATTGGCTCTCAAAAACTAATTTCGCCTTGGCGATGCATTCGCCCTCAAAGGTAAAATTACGAACAAAGCCAAAAGAATGACCTTGCTTAAACGGTTGAAACCCACGCCCCAGATGGCTAAGGGTTAGAGCAGAAATCTTAGCATTAAGCCTAAGAGAAACTGTTCGACAACTCATCATACTGAGGAGAATAGTATGGCTAGCCCGATTCAAACGGTAATCGGTAAAGGCACATCAAACCCGTTGATAGCTGAGGATTTGCTAAAAATCCTAAGAGAAATCGAAGGCACTTGCTTCGCCAACAATTTCTTCATTCAAAGTATTCCAGACCACACGCAAGCCAGTTCAGGTCTGAAAACTTTGAAGGGGGTCTTGTAGACGGTAAAAAATACCTCTATGGGTCTACAGGAAATTTGCCTACGAGAAGAGTTCGCACGCCCAATTCTCTGGCACGGACCTAAACCGCGTAGACGTCGACTGTACTCAAGTCCAGGTTCGCCTAACGGTCGACTCGCCAGCATGAGTCAGGGTCGATCAGGATGGCGGAAATTCGCTCTTCGCTCAACTCGCCTGCCCGAGTTCGGAGTCGAATCCGCCAGCAAGCCCCAAAACCGTCAGTACAGCTGGGTATCCACTACCCCACGTGCTGAGATGGACCTTCCCATCTCTCTCGACCCGAAGGGATTCACCGCCTCTCCTGGCCGGAAAGGAGAAAGCATCGTGCTCAAAGCACGCCGGGCGGTCACGCACAGTACAAGTGATCGGACAGACACTTCATCGATCTGCGAACTCATAAATGCGGTTCATTAATGCTGGTCAAATCCACTCGGATAGCAGTCGTTTGTTGCCTCACATACAAGAATGGGCCTTCCCAGCGTAGGTGACAGGACATAGAGCACAATCCCTGGAATGACCATTCATGGTATCGAGGAACGGCGAGACGTCTCTGAAGAGGATGTGGTCACATCCCACAATTCAAGGAGAAATCAAGCTGTCCTTCTTTCATTTAAAAAACCCCTTCCAGCACGATGGAAGAGAGGTCGCAAAACTTGGAGAAAAAAGAGTTGAGACCAAGCTGTTAGCAAATCCTTGCATTACAGCACTGCTGCCTAGTTCCGAGCTCCGATCGCCGACGAACTAAGCAGACCCGAACTCCATTACTTCGAGCTTCTACTGCGAACTGAAGCTCTCCAGCAACCTCATTCAAACGGTCCAAGGGAAGCAGACTCGACCCGAGCATCGAGCGAAGCGTCCTATAGCCACCTAAAGTCCCCACACAAAAACAAAGAGGGCCTTCCCTCTGCTTCTGTTGTAAACATTTGATTTGTTAGTTTGTAATAAGCTTTCTTATAAATACAAACGAAACTCCTTCCTTCGGAAGAATCAAATTTTCACCCTACAAGCACCAAGTTCTCTAGCTTGTGCAATTGCTCCACAGTTATCACAATGCAAAGTAACGGGGGATACGATAGTAGGAATAACTGTAGGCGTCAAAAAATGGCTATAGATCCCGAACATAGCTCGAGACGACGATCCGTCGACAACAAAGCGGCGAATCACTGATGACATCGCAACAAGCTCGTACGCTCATCAGCCAGCTTCAAGTGGCCCGCGCACTCGTCAGCCGCCTACAAGCTAACGAAACGCATAAAGCGAATCCAGCTTCAAGTGGCCCGCGCACTCGTCAGCCGCCTACAAGCTAACGAAACGCATAAAGCGAATTGGTGAAGCAGACAAGTCAACGAAACAACGAAATGCGCGTAACGGCGAAACAGGTCCAACCCGAACAAACCCGAACAAAATTGAATATGTTTCCTAATCTAATTTGACTCTAGCATTGAATTTATTTCCTAATCTAATTTTTCGAACCTATATAACTTTTTGTCCTCCATCACCATCTCAAAATTCCTAACTGTATAACACATCCACCTGTATGATAAGCGAATCAACTAAAAAATTTCTAATTTAGTTTAGAAAAAAGAAGGGATGCACTTCAATAAACAATTCAGGGTGCTGGCTTAGTTTGACTTAATTAACATTAGAACAAGAAAACTATAGAACTAATCGAGGAAAAGATAAGCGATTAATCGAGGACACACATTATGGCCCACGTATCACTTAAGAGGCAAATTATTGGAGATTCTGTTCCCTTTCCTCAACACATTGCTTTTTCGATCGGCCTGAANATAACCCCCTCTGTGTATAACATCCACATTTGGTGTTGCTCTGCAAATGATTTTATTGGTTTGTAAATATTCTATTTCTTTTGTTAAACATCCATCTCTGCTTTCGACACGTAGAGATTCTTTTGCTCTTGTTGAATCCTGGTAATTAATCATGTCTCATGTAAAGGTTTTTTCTATACCATCTATTTTTGAAGAAAATATTAAAGAGAGTGGAGCCAAAAACCAAGAAGACATCCAAAGCAACAATTTATTAAGTGCTAAAAGGGTTCCTATGGATCCCATGCATGAGGCACTTCGAAAGCCAAATTATGTTATAACGCCGTCCGTGAACTATTTAATGTCTAATTCCAATACGCTGTCGCGGCTCTCAAATTTTGCTACTTAAAATGTATCACCCCTCTTTCCAAATGTATTAAAACTTACAGAGACGCAAATTTAAAATACAATAATAGAAAAAATAAGTTATTTAATTAAATCAAATGTATTAAAACTTAGAGACGCAAATTTAAAATACAATGATAGAAAAAATAAGCCGTCGTGCTTTGCACGGGTACATACTAGTTATTGAAATGAGAAAGAATATACCATCTTTTTATCACCCTCTTCCGAAAAAAAGAGATAAACAATAGAAAGAGAATAAAAAAAAATAAAAAGAACTATCCGTAGGCATAACATCGTACAAATTGACGTGTGTGATCTAAATAAAACTCTCCTGCCTGTATTTATTTTAATTTCAAAAAGGTGAAATATTTTATCATAAAAAATCCTGGTCTTTTTGAATTACCAATGTTGGATGTCAGATGATGCTTCAAAAGTATCACCATTCATAAAAGGAAAACTCCTCTGGGACCCCAAATAAGGGACCGTCTGAGGGGACAGGTGATGTGTCAGCCCCTGGGGCTTGATACACTGTTCATGAACAGTATATCAAGCCCCCAGGAGCTGACACATCACTTGTCCCCTCAAGGGGTCCACTATTTGGGGTCCCTATAGCAACACTCTTCATAAAATTCACTTTGATTCTGATATTTACAAGTAACCGCAGCAATTATTGTTTGATAGTTACGCGCAGATTATGTGTGGCTATCAAGAAAGAAGAACTTGATTATGTGTAACTAATTAATATCTGTGGATCATCGTTCTCTCACGCATACTAGACTTGGAGCCAACAATAAATCGAAATGAATCGACGCATTTTAATGGCATCGTCCTATTTGTTTACTCTCAAAATAACAATAAAAGAGAAAATAATTCAAGTTAAAGAAGTTCCAAAGTAAAATAGATCCTAAAAAGCTTTCTTAAAAATTAAAATATTCCACGGAATTACTGATTTCAGTGAGGAAAAACAGAGTATTATTTTTTTTAAAAATATTTATTATGTCCATGTCTTTTTCTCTCATAATTAAATATTCCTCAGCTAAATATTCGTGATATCATGCCGGGAAAATTGTTATATTTTCCTTAAGATATTGTAGATAAGATTATTTTAAAAAAAGGAAATATTTGGTAAGAAATGGCAAGGATTCTTTTCGCATCATCTCCATTTCGGAGAAAACTCAGGCCCATTTCTAGGCCTTCACACAGCAAACTTACAGGCCCAAATTTAGTGAAAATTGGTACTTTCTTACTGTTCAACAACGAGTCGGTAATCAGTCTGAACACCGTCCGTAAGATTCGAAATTTTGAATAGGAGAAATTTCCATAAATGCAACGTTTCAACGATGAAAGTGAAGTTGGTCATCCTAAATCATATAAGGAAACAAAAATAAGGTAATTAAATGGCTACAAATACTCATAATACCTTCATTTCCGAACCACATCAAAGCTTAAACAAATATTTGTGACCTTGTTGATTGAAATTTTCTTGCCTCATGGATGCGTTGGCCTTCACCTACGATCCCTCATTTGATGCGTGGGTGTTGGAACTCAAGCCCATCAGTCTCCACAATACCAACAAAACCTCGTCCTCCAAGAAAAAGCTCATTGCCTTCGCGAGTAGCAAAACAAAAGCCTCTGCTGCCACACCGGATCATGACGAGGGCTCCCAGCGTCGCCTTGTGAAGTTTTGGCAGGTGATCAAAGACAAGTTGGCCGAGTGTTGGGTTTGTCACAGGGAATGCATTATTATTTATGGAGATGGGTCACCACGGGAGAAGAAGATGAGGAATAAGCCGGCGAAGCAGAGTGAAAATGGATATTATAGCCAGATGTCGATAAGAGATCGCGACGAGAAGCTGAGCGAAGCCATCGTGTACTGCAAGAACAATATGAGGAGGGACTCAGGGTGCCATCAACCCGGATGCCTGCCAAGAAGAAGCTACAGGTCTTCAACAACTTAGCCTAACATACATAGCATCCCATGTTGATCATGCCCAACATCAACTTTCATGACAACAAATGCTTTTTTTAGCTTTTTTCAACATTCAGGAGAACAAAGCGACATTGATTCTGATTGTAATTAATCAAAAACTTTATTTAAGCTTGCATCTAAATCTTTGAATTCCTCTCTTTTGAACTTCTAAAGTTGATGTTTGGATTGGACACCAAATATTCTTGCAACATTATACTGGAGTTCTGATGGCTTTTATATATTTTTCTTTCAATCTTTCATGTCATAACAGTGGTCACCATTACAAATCTCTACACGAAAAGCAGAATACAACCGCTTCGGGGATTCATTTCTGTAATTCATTAAGTTCATTCGTTATACGTTGCAGTGTTTACAAAAATGCCATCAAAATCATGTTTCGCAACGCGGTTTCCTGGTTCCAATAAGCTCTAGTAATCAAGGAATATGATACAGAATACAACACGGAGCTTCCTCAAACCCCCACTAGCTGTTCTCTTCCATTATTGAGACATATCGCATTTGTTTAAGATACCATGGAAAAGTCAGCACAAAAATAATAAGTGTAAATAATTGAAAATGACTGGGGCTGTGTGGGAAAAACGCAAACCCACGAGCAAATATCACCTCTTAGAGATGCGTTTAATATCACCTCTTTAGGATGCGTTTAGTGATATAACGCCCTTTCTCCAAATCATATATCATCTTGGACTGGGGTTTTCTCCATCTGGACAGGGACCATACTGCAAAAATCAGAATCATGAAACCAATGACCAGGGGAAGATAGACTGATGAGTCTTCGCCGAAAAAATTGGTCAGCAAGCCAGATGACTCAGCATTGCTCTGATTCGATGTCTTCTGCATGATAAAGGCTCCTAATGCCCAATCAAGAGGTACATCGCCCACTTGATTTGCAAATTGAATCCTGATTACGAGAATACATCCAACTAAATTATTGTGAAGTTAAGATAGCTGGAGCTCGTCTGTTAGATCCATGATACTGAATATAGTACATTCATAATAATTTCATTATATGAGACATTAAAACGAGCAAACAAAAGATGACTAAAACATAATGAAGAAAAGAACTAATGAAAACATCAGTGATGACTAATCAAGTTCACAGGCAACCTACTACGAATAAGTATGATTACCAAATTCTCCAGAAGGGGAATGAAGAATTTTAACTCACTGATAAAATCATCTCTTGTGTAGCGTGGAACCTTATATCATGAGGTCATATCTCATCAGACATGTATCAGTGTGTCATGTCCATGCCAGCTTGTCTATTACAGTCCAAAGTATCTCATACCAATAGATTGTTCGACATAGGATTTCTGGAAGCCAGGTCCCTTGAGCAACATGCCATAGGACTATGTACGATTATCATACAGAAGATATAAGCTTAAACCCTGGTAACTACATAATTAACTTAAATTCCCATCTAAATTATATGGGAAGCATATGGTATTCTTATATTTTAACAAAGAATTAATAGAACCAATAGCAGAAAATCCAATGACATCATGGATTAAAGTGAAAGAGCGTACCGTCTATCATTCATGGCAATTCCAAGACTGTCATGAAGCAACGCAACAATGTATGCGGAAGAGAAACAATAACGCAATAATTCTTCCTTTTCCAGAGTAGGGTACCTCTTTGTTAGCTCTGACCAATCTTCCTCACAAAATCGTTCACCAGCTAATACCAAATCAGAAAGAAATGATGCTGAACCCAACCCGAAGAACTACAAAAAGAAGATGAAGAACATATTGAAGTTTATAGGCATACAGATGGTATACTCTGAATAGTAAAAAGATGATTCATTTTGATGTAACAAAAGATTACTGGTGAAGACTGTAGTCTCCTATTCATATGTAGATCCCCAGAACTATAAATGAAAAATCTGAGAGAGAAATATACCCTTGAAGTATAAAAGAAATTTTCGGTGGCTATGAATCTGCCTTGCAGATTAGGTATGAAACCTGATCCCAAGAGGCAGCTTGAGTACATGCATTTATCTGCAAATAGAAAAGATAACTATCATTGGGTACATGTATATTAAATGTGAAGAAAGAAAATATCGTTGATGCAAGAGAGAAGAGGCATTCTTTTTCGAACAGGAAAACTTATTTTCAAGGGGGAAAATAAAAAAAAAAAGAAAAAGAAAAAAGAAAACATGTGACAGGAAGAAACTCTGTTGCTAGTAAATCTAGATGCATTAGTTTCAGAAGCTACAAAGCAACATCAAGTTCGCACGTGTCATTATGAGATCAATTCAATCAATTTAAAGAGTGACTACAATACTTGCTTACCTTTTCCTCTCTGTAGCAACATCAGGGCAGCAGACCTACATTCTGAAAAGTTACCAACTGCATGTGCAATAGGGCGGTAGTTCATCTTCAAACTGAGAGCACTATCAGAAAGCGTCAATGGTTCCCCATCGTGCAAATAACCTCTAGGAGTGCAGGGATCTTTAAAGGTGGCAGGCTGGACAAGATTAGCAGCTGCTTTGAAGATTACATGTCAATACATTTCTAAACAACATTGCCAAAAAAGAAATAGCTATCAGGTTGCCGATGTCACATTGCGGATGTAGACATCATAATTCATAAAACTTGCTTAAATGAGCTGGAAACAGGTTGAATAATTTACCACTGCAAACAGGTTGAATAAGTTACCACCAACATTACAGAAACAAGTCAAAAATTTGGGACGTGGTTGTTATATATATCATTTGTCAACAGGAGTGATGCATATTAAGCAGGAAAGATACAAATTGACACAACTTACATGTTTGTAGGTCTTTTGGACTGAGCAACTCCTGCAGTGACTCATGTGCCACATTCTGCAAAATGCATTAGAGGAATAGAGATCTAAGATTAACATGGAATTTAATGAAGATGGATGTTGAATAAAAAAATTAACCAAGATGACTAGATATACAAATTACAAATGTGCAAGCAGGTGGAATTTCAGGTAGACTTATTTGATAAACTAGGGCAAAATGTTGTCAGAGCAGTATTCCTTGTACAATATTCATGAATTAGTCCTTAGTCTGCAACAGAAAAATGTATGACAAAGACAAACCGCTACACATGCGAAGTTCCTTTTATATAAGCAATGCATTGCCAGCTACTTTGGATTGTTCTATTAGTAATTAATCACCAAGTATCCTTCTGAAGGCAACAGCTTTCATCGTGGTAATTAGTCAATCTTTCCATTAACTTCCATCTATTTTTTTTCTCATCTGCCACCAGCCTCCCATCAATAAAGGTGTGGCCTGGATGATCAGTCTGGTTTAACATAAATCTAGGTGTAGGATGAGTCAGCCACTTGGATGGGTCTAATCAGATGCCAAGCTAAAAGTTTGGGTCAGCCCCCTCCCGCTCTTTGCAGAAGGAATGTTTACGTCTCCGAGATGCAAAGGATGTAATGGAAGTAAATACCGCAATTATAAATTCTGAATAATAATACAGGTTGAAACTCACCTGTCCAAGATGAAGAAAACTGTGGCTATATAGATTATACTTTACTTCCCCAAATTCAAGAACATGTGAGAACTCAGGAGGCAGAGGCTCGCTTGAAACAAATGTTACCTGGTATAGAAAAAACTATACTTATGAATCTCTAATCATATAATTATGGACCAAACTAAAAGCTGCAGTCAGTAACTGCCATCTCAAATATGTACCAACGACAACCTATAATAATATGCAACAAAAATTTAAGTGACAGGCCTTATATCGTAAAGCATGAGCCACCCAATTTGATGATGTTGGAAGTTTAAATACCTATATTGATATTATTCTTTAATAACACTAAAAGTGTCATAAATGTCTCACCAGGCCAAAGATTCTAGAACATCATATGATGATAAGATCTATGAGATTATTTACAAACTGGCATTGAAATTTCATAAACATAGTTACTATAAGTTATCACAGTTTGCTTTTATCTCAAGGTTAATGTCTAAATAAAACATCTACAACATTTATAACAGTTACTCTTGTTTGATGGAAAAAAATTACATTTTCTAAGAACTTATGTCCAGTACCCAAGTTGTAAGACAAATTTATATATGACAAGAGGCATTAAGCTGATAAAAATCAAGAGCTCCCTGCACTCAGGAAAAAATTAACATTGCTCGCCCTCTAAGCAATCAGCAGCAACAAAAAATGTCAGGTCAGCTCCATAATGGTATAAAAGTCTCATTTTGGAAAAAGAATACTGCTTAAGCCACAATCAATCTAGTAATTTCCAGGAGAAAAATGTTGATGCAGTGAAATTTGAATTAGTATCAAAGGCTATGCTCTGGAAGGATAGTTACCAATAATGGCCACACTTCTGGCACCAGGTTCGAAGCGCCAAAAATTATCAGCATGCGCAATGACTTTTACCAACTTTACATTCAGGAAATTCAGTATGAAACTGTAGGCTATTTCCAGAGTAGTTTGCCAAATGACCAAATGAAGTTTATTTAAATAATAGTCACAAATAAATATATTGAGAATGTTCAACTACTGTGTCAGAAACATGATACCGAATATTGGCTTAAAAACTAATCAAACACACAAGTTTTCATATCAGATCCAAGACCAATGAGTTAGCAACCAGCAGGGGAAAAACAGAAAAAGACTATGTAAGATATTGAATGGAAAACAAAACCTGAGCAGAAGCCCCACCGAGTTCAAATATCCCAGTGGTTTTTTGAGGATCTCCTCCTAGAGTACCAAGAGCATAATTTGCAGCAATCCAAGCATAAATACCCTCATCAACTCCTGTAGCATTAGATTTTCAAAATCAGTTCCTGAAACCTCTTTCTAAATATCAGAACAATGAAAAGAATAGGAGCAGTGTTGTAAAAAGCGGCTAATCACGGCGCAATAGCACCGCGAATAGCGGTCGCGGGGCTTCACCGCCCCGCTTTGGGTGTTTGCAGTGGGCTTAAGCGGAAAAATCCGTTTTCTGCTCGAATAGCGCGTAATAGCGCCTTTTAGCACTAAAAAGCGCTTAATAACGCTAAACCCCGCTACAATGGGTAACAAAAAACTCCCCGAACCTGACCCAAACGCATTTCATTTAAAGCCTCTCGCCTGTGATTCTCGAACCCAGTGTGCCCTAGCCGCCTCCTCTCCCGCCTCTCGCCTCTCTCGTTCACCAACGGCAACGACTTCCTCACCAACAGCGACTCCCTCACCGCCGCCCTCTCCCGCGTCAAATCCAACCTCTCCTACTTCCGTACCAACTACGCCATCCTCCTGTCCCTAACCCTAGCTTTCTCTCTCCTCTCCCACCCTTTCTCTCTCCTCCTCATCCTCTCTCTCCTCTCCGCCTGGTGCTCTCTCTACCTCTTCCGCCCCTCGGATCCCCCGCTTGTCCTCTTCGGCCGCCAGTTCTCCGAGCGTGAAACCCTAGGGGGGCTCGTTTTGCTGAGCGTGATCGTGTTCTTTATGACTTCAGTTGGATCTCTACTGATCTTGGCGGTGATGATCGGGTCTGGAGTTGGTTAGTGCTTTATTTGGTTTATTTTCTTTGGAAGTCTATGAATCTTGTTTAATTTGGAGAATTTTTAACTCTTTTTTTTACGATGTTGATGAAATATTTAATTTTATGATTTAAATTTGACTGCGGGGATATTGCAGTAATATTGTATTGAAAGCTGATTAGAGCTTGTTGTTTTTTAACTCTTTGAAAATTTGCAAACTGTCACTTTGTTTTCCGTTTAACTAATTAATGGTTTAATTGTCTTGAGTATAATTGTCAGGCTTTTCTCATTCAAGTTTTTTTTTCCTTTTTCCCCTTTGATGTTTGAAGTATGATGGAGAACTTCATATGGTGTTTGATGCTAGTTGAATGTAGTACGTATGTAGCTCTAAACTTTTAGGTACAATAAGATTTCCTGTTCCTACTACTTTGAGGCTATTTTTCAGTGGTGTACATTTAATCATCATACGCATGCTTAAAAATGGTTCCCCTTGCTTTTCTAACGAATGTCAAGTACCAAGTGAAATTCTAGTAGTTAATATAATGATGATATTCTTGCTTTGTTCATTTAGTCATTTAGTCATTTATCTATACTAGAATATTTTATTTTTTTAGGTCAAATTTCTAGTAGTTAATATAATGATGATGTTACTAATCAATGCTTTTTTATTGTTGAGCATTTTTATATTAAAGACTTGAAAGTTGAAGAAATGGGACAAATAACGGTCTTTTGGATAAAACATGTACGTTTTTTCATTCTTTAATATTTATAATTATAGTATTTTGTTAATATTATGTAACTATTACACATCTATTTCAAGTTTAGGCATCAAGTATGCATTTGTAGATTTTTTAGATTTTTTATATGATTTTTCTTATTATTTATAATATTTAAATATATTTATATTTGACCGCTATTTGATTGTGCGCTATTTGCCGCTATTTCTTCGCAATAGCCCAAAATAGTTAGCGGTACCTCGCCGCGACGCGATCCGCTATCAGCAACCTTGAATAGGAGACTTTTTAATGCATTATAAAATGGTAGTTTATGCTGGTTTTTAGCTCCATATACTAGATTGGCTGATATTAGGTAATAATTCTGCCCAAGAAGCAACAGAGTACCATTCCTAAAGGCAAGCAGAAGTCTATAGCTGGTCAAAGGCCTGCAGGTCCATGCAATCTTGAAAGTTGAAGATCCTCAAAAAACCAAATTTTCAGCATGATATATCACTTTAATCAACAATTATAAACAACAGCCATGCAAGAACCGTTCATAACAATAGTTACAATTAGATGTGTCATCTGCTGATGTCAACAATCAATTGACATGACCTGTCAATATGCCTCCATATGCCTCCAATTGAGGATAATTCATATCCAACAGAAGCATCATACGACAGGGTATTGAAGGCTTGAACATAACCACAACCAAAAGGCTACAGTTCTGGTGACATCATTAAACACAAATAGACCAATATCAAATGCAAATAGAGCTATTCCTAATGCTAGGTTTTGCTACCTTGAGAGTTCAATATCCCACATTCCCAAACCAAGGTACTACTTATTTGAGTCATTTTTACTGTCTTCACTCTGATAGAAAAGGAAGAAGAACATTAATTTTCCATTACTTTGCTGCAAAAATAAAACAATAATAATATTGAGGCAGAAGCTAACTTCTAACAGAAATTTTCTTTTTGGCCTTCCTCTACTTCCATGTTCTAAAATGAATGAAGTTCAATAGAATTTTTCGGTACCTACCATGCTTTTCTCAAAGCTCACCATGTTTTACTAAAGCCTCACTATATCTTTAGTTTACCTCAAACCGAAAAATAACCTTCCAGAAAGCTTGATAATGTGTATAAAACATTCTCCACAAAAACCTGCATCCTACGACTTTGACCTCAGCCTGCAATATACATACACTATTGCATCATATGCACATAAATAATTTCTTTCTCCTTCAAACTTTCTCCAAGGATTTGACATGATTCCCTAATTTCCTCCCTCCTCTCCTACTTACTAAAAGAGAAAGAGCATGCAAGTGATAAGCTTAAGGGATGTAGGGCAAAAAAGCAGCAGACTGAATGAAAATAGGAAATTCAAGGACAAACAACACTTGTTTTCTTTGTCATGTAATCATATCAAGATAAGAATGTTATGAAGCCTTCTGAGCAAGAAGACGCTTTAGAATGACTGCTAACCCAACATCAACCATCAGTGAATTGATGCCAAGTTTCTGATCAAATGCCATGGATACTTTTTTGTAGATTGCGGCTACAGATAAATTACTAGCACAATTATGTACTCGAAAATCTCTACTACGTTTGTGCACTTGGAAGCTGCTCTCCAATTGTTAATAATAGCATAAGAAAATTTGACACCCAACTGATTTACCATCTACTTCAATTTCACAAACATCCAACTAAATTTCAACTCCAAGTTCTAACAAATCATGCTCCAAGCCTCAATCTTTAAGCAAAATATTGTTAGAGTATATTTATGTGTCACAAGGGCATTTTGGTCTTTTCCTAGCTAGCCCTGTTTTCTATATATATGCCTATTATGCTTGTAAACCAAACTCCCTAATAACTTTGCTATTGTAATGAATACTGCTCTCTTGTTCTGTTTTCTATTCATTTTTGAGTGAAGGATTATTGAATCCAACATGGTATCAGAGCACGCCGATCTGATCGATCAAATGAAGACGACGAAGTCCCCGATCTGAGCGATCAAACGAAGACGACAAAGCGCCGCCGTCGCCAGTTACACCAGATCCGTCGCCATCCGAACTCGCCGACGCCAGATCCCTCGACCTCAGACCCCAGATCTGTCTCACCGACCCCAGATCCGGTGCTCTCAGTGCTCGCCGAGTACGTCGTTGTTCTCGAGCTGCTTAGCTTCAGCTGGTGAGCAAAAGAGTCCACCTTTATTAGCGGAAAGAGGAATCGAGCATCAAAGATGGCGCCTTTGAGAGAGAGGCGGGGTCAGAGACGTTTTATTTAAGGGTCAACACTACCAGAAACAGTCACCTTGCCGTGGTCTGGATCGATGCTGACAGTATAAACCCCATCAATCTTCTGGAGCAATTTCTTGACTTTCTGCTTGCATCCATCACAGTGAATGTGCACTTTAAGAACACATGTCTGTATCTTAAGGAAGTTCTGATCTCATTGTTGCTAGATTATTTGTTGCTGTTGATGTCTGATAGGTAGTCAATTAATTTGTTGGTGGCAATGTCTCCTGTTTATGTTGGGAACTTGGACCCACGTGTTACTAAACGGGATCTGGAGGATGAGTTTCGTACATACGGAGTTATAAGAAGTATTTGGGTCGCTAGAAGGCCACTTGGTTATGCGTTTATTGATTTTGATGATCGCCGAGATGCCCAAGATGCAATCTGTGACTTGGATGGTAAACATGGCTGGAGGATCGAGCTTTCCCACAACTGTAAAGATCGTGGCAGAGGCGGGCGTGGTGGTCGTGATCGTGGTGGGCAACATAAGACATTTTCTGGGGGTCATCCTCGGAACAGTTATTCTCATTCATCCACTGCATTGGTACCATCATCGGATCACCTGAGTCTGAATTCTTACAGGAGTCCTAATATTGATTCTATAGCTGAGCAGTTTGAGAGATTTATTGCAAGCCAGTTCCAGTTTCAGTCCCAAAGTCAGCCTCACCCTCTGTCTCAGCCCTATGCCACGTCTGTTCCATTTACCTCAGGTTTGTCATCATCAAATGGTTCAGGTACCATCTCGTCTCATTGGGTTTTAGACTCTGGAGCCTCCCATCATATGTCTCCTAACTGTTCATCATTTACATCCATGAGTAGTAATCCCCCATCTACCTCCGTTATGACAGCTGATGGCACACCCATGCCATTAGCAGGCATTGGTACCATTCACACAACAAACATATCCTTATCTGATGTTTACTACATTCCAAAGTTGACTATGAGTCTTGTTTCTGTTGGTCAATTATGTGATTCTGGATATTCTGTTCACTTTTCTTCTACCACCTGTCATGTGCAGGATCCAAAATCCAAGAAAATGATTGGGACAGGCCGTAGAAAGGGGGGACTTTATGTTTTGGATGACCTGCAAATTCCTGTTCATGCTGCTGCAACGGGTGTTGATCTATCTTCTTTTCATTTGACATCTTCCTCTTCTAAGTTTTATTTGTGGCACTCTCGACTTGGTCATGTTTCGGGCTCTCGCCTAAAATTTATGAGTAATAGTGGTGTTTTAGGTGACTTGCATTCTCATGATATTTCCGATTGTAGTGGGTGTAAACTTGGAAAATTTTCTGCCTTACCCTTTAGTACAAGTACATCTACCTCATTTGCACCTTTTGATTTGGTTCATTCTGATGTTTGGGGTCCTGCTCCTATTTCCACTAAAGGGGGGTCTAGATATTATGTTTCTTTTATTGATGATTACACTCGTTACTGTTGGGTTTATTTGATGAAACGACGTTCTGATTTCATTAATATTTATACAGAGTTTCAAGCATATGTCAAAACACAATTCTCTGCTGTTGTAAAATGTTTCCGTTCTGATTTGGGTGGGGAATATACTAAGGGGGATCTTTCTGACATTTTTGTATCTGATGGTACCGTGCATCAAACTTCTTGTACGGATACCCCACAACAAAATGGGATAGCTGAAAGAAAACATAGGCACATTGTTGAGACTACCCGTTCTATGCTTTTGTCTGCTCATGTCCCTAGTGAGTTTTGGGGAGAAGCAGTCCTTACATCTGTTTATCTCATCAATAGGATCCCCACTTCCCATAACTCAGGCATTTCTCCTTTTGCTAGATTATTTGGTCACACCCCTGAGTATTCTCATTTGAGGGTTTTTGGTTCTACATGTTTTGTTCTTCGTCCACATGTAGAACGTACTAAGTTATCCTCTCGCGTTGCTATATGTGTATTTCTTGGTTATGGTGCTGGGCAAAAAGGTTATCGCTGTTATGATCCAGACTCTAGAAAATTGTATGTCTCTCGTCATGTTTCCTTTCTTGAGCATATTCCTTACTTTTCCCTTCCAGCTAGCTCGCATGGTATGACCCAGCGTCATTGGTTCTTTGTTGGCAAACTCTCGATGCTTCTTGCTGCCCCATCGCGAGTTTGAGGGGGGATGTTAGAGTATATTTATGTGTCACAAGGGCATTTTGGTCTTTTCCTAGCTAGCCCTGTTTTCTATATATATGCCTATTATGCTTGTAAACCAAACTCCCTAATAACTTTGCTATTGTAATGAATACTGCTCTCTTGTTCTGTTTTCTATTCATTTTTGAGTGAAGGATTATTGAATCCAACAAATATGACCAGAGTTAAAGCCGGCAAAAAATAAAAAAAATAAAAATAAAAATAAAAAATCACCTGCCTGTAATAACAGTAGCCCAATCATCCTCGAACAGGAATCCAGAAACCCTCAAAACCCTCCTGCAGCTGTCCAAGATCTTCTCCCTTGCCCCGCCATCGACCAGTCTCAATCCGGCCGTCCCCATCAATCGAATCTCCGTCTCCGCCCACAGATCTGAAGGAACCACCCCCTTCGCGAACTCCACCAACCTCACCAAGCTCTCCCCGACCT